AAGGTTCACATACTTTGCAAAGTACAGAATAGATACAATTAATAATGAGTATAAAAGTAAAGATTCCCAAGATGTCACCTTCATTTTAATTATTTCAACTGTTGCCTATTTCTGGCCATTGAATGATATATTAGGAACCATCCCCCATCAACTTTACGACAAAGATTTTCACTTATTTAATTCAAATACAGTCAGATTAGAAATAGAAATGTGATTACTCCCATATATTTAATAGCTTCATCCTCCATTCACATTTAAAGTTACAGTTAAGTAGCACTTTGGGAAATGGTCTGGAGCCAAGATTAAAGTTAGGAGGGACTGCTTGGAAATAAAAAGCCTAAACATTGTGAAACCTCAGAATTTTAGGTGATGTGAAAACCTACCTGTCATTTTCTGAAGACTGAACCTACAGATAGTTCTCAACTTACAATCACAATTGGGACCAGAGCTTCCTGCATTAAGCACCAAGATTATCATGTGAATGTTACCTCATTTTATGAGCTTTTTTTTTTTTTGCTGTGATTGTTAAGCGAATCGCAATACTTTGGTAAACAACACTTCTGAATCTGCCACTCCCCATTGATTTTGCTTGTTGGAATCCCTCTGGGAGGGTCACTAATGGCAATCACAAAATCCTGGATTGCTGCAACTGTCATAAATACATGGCAATTGTCAAGCACCCAAATTTTGACCATGGGGATGCTGTAACAGTTGTCATAAGCCATTTTTTAACAATATCATTGTCACTTCAAATGGTTGCTGAATGAATAGTTGTGAGTCAAAGACTACTTATAGACTCCTTTCTCTCAATATTACATCAAGAGTCAAGATAATGTACAAAATTAATGAAAGAGATAGGAGCAGTCCAGAATTAGGATTTGGTATTGTTATTGGCTATATTGTTATAATGCCAATCCGTTATTATTAGGATTAGGATTATTAGGATTATTATTATTACGATGGTGAAAGTTTCACTGCCTTTCAAATAACACAAAGAAAAGGATAAACTTAGATTATTTATCTTTTGTACAAAGATTAGCTGTATTTATATTATCTTGCCAATTATATGAACTTGTATGGATCTTGAAAAGATCACCAATAGTCGATTCATGGTGTCTTTAGATGTTTCTGGACTTAAAAGTCACTGGATAGTATCTAGATTTTCTTATCAATATTCAGTTCCTATGGAAAAGACGTAAGGACTCATTTGACTTTTTTTGTGGTGTGTCCTTTAAGCCTTCTGGGACAATTATGGCACAATTTGGTTCCCTTTCAACAGTCTTTTTGTAAGTCACAGTCATTCATAGGGGTGAATGCTTGGGAAACAGCCTCATGTTAAACAGACTCTGGACAGCTGCATTATAATTACTGCCGCTTCCAACAAGCATTCCTATGAATTCCCTGATGGCCAGCTTTAAAGGCAGAATGCATCTGGAATAATATGCTTAAGTGTCTGAAATTTTAAAAATGGCCATCTATTGATATATTTCGAGAGGCTCCAAATTACAGTGCATAACAAATCATGCAGTAAAATGCCACCACAGCACACTTTTAGAAAGAAAGCTATTAGCTCTTAATGCTTTGTGCTAAATCAATAGTCAATATTGCCAATGACTCTAACATATATTTCTATCTGTTTTCTCCTTAAGGCATCTTCAGATAGAAGGAGTGTAATCCATTCTCTCATCTTTAGCAGAATAGTCCCTGCCATAATTACTTATTAATGGTGGCTGGCTTTCAGAGTCACTTTTGAAACAATTGCACCACATTATTTCTATTTTATTTTTGCTTTTACACAAACCTCCATTTATTCTTTATTTATTGGGAAATGTTTATGGTACCTCTATATCCCACAATCAACATTTCTAAATTATCCTATGAAATGGAAGTTTGCAATTCGAGATCTAGGCTTACACTTGATTCCTCAAAGACTTCCATGCAGCTCTAAAAATCCTTCTAAAAGTTGCCACTGAATTATAATTTAATGAGAGAGAAAGCAAGAGGGATTATTAAATACTTGTAGCGCTCTTAATATGAATTCAATTAATTTACTTTTCACTGCAAGTAAAAATTAGCTTTTGTCCAACCTTAATTTCTTTGGTCTTCACCTATTTTTATTTTTTACCTTATAAAATTTCCAAAGCAATATGGAAAGAACAACTTCATTCCTTATGCTGAGAAAAAAAACCTTAGGTCAGAGAATGATTTCACAAAATTTAGCATTTTTCACCATTCCAAGTATTTTGCAAATCTACTAGGGTTAAGCTTAAATCATTATTATATGGAAACATCCATATAGACATTAATTAATATTTTTCAGACTGTAGATTATGTTGAAGAGCATGGGACTTACTTAAGACAATTGATGGGAGAAGTGAGATCTAAACCAGAGATTTCCCAGGAATAATTTTGTCTTATAGCTGTCTATATTCTAGGAATCAATGAATATTTTTGCCTGCAAAAATTTCAGACAAATAATACTGGGAAATAATAAATGGGAAATATGCAATAGCATGTTTGAAGTAAGAAGTTTGGCATAAAATTAAAATGTAGAAATATTTATTTTCTAATTCTAAATAATGTCAGCACATATATATTTCAAATACTCAATTTTAGCTAGGGTATGTTTAATCCATAAATCTGAATGATGGTTTCATAAATGTATTTAAAATATCTATTATTTATTATGTCTATTAGTTATCTATTTATTCTAAACTGATTTTTAATAAGGTTAAGTTTAAAACTAATTTTCTAGTAAAGAGTCCCAGTATTGGAGAACAATAATACTTTGTCTATGTAATGAAAGCATATAAATAAAAGAATTTAAACCTTTTTTTCTTAAAGCAATTAGAGCCTCTTAAAATAACAATGAATTTAAGTTTTTTATATTTTTCACTGCTAATAAATATTATCTTGAGTCTTTGTTAATACTATATTGATATTTTGACAGTTTAGCAGTTGTATTCCATTGTGAACTTTATCCTTATACTATGTTGACATTCTTAAACTGAGATATTCAGCATTGTTTTAGTCCCCATAGCGTTATTTTAAAAGCCTATAATCTTTCTATAATGAGTCATCATACAACAAAACCACAAAATAGAGGTGTCAACTCCCATACACACCCACCTCCATCACTTTCATTGCTATGATTCACAGTCTTTTGGAACAAAGATGCATATACTAGTTGGATTATCATGGCAGAATTCATTGTATATATAAAATAAGTTGCTAAGTTTGACATCTTTGAAAAATGTATTGCTACAATTTCAGATGCCCGAAAAGCCCCTACTGATTTAGATGGCAGACTGAGCAGGACCAGGATGTCATAGATGTCATAATCTAAAACAATGCAATTTTCTTCTATGCTCCCTGTTTAGCACTGTATCCATTGCATTACTAAATAACCCATATCTAGAGTAGTATCATGCTGTCATCTATTAAAATGTACGTTTATTGTTTCAAACTGGATAATCTAATTTAATTTACAGGTGTGTGAACCATAATTTCTTAAAGCCTGGACATCATAGGATATATATATATAGCTAGGATGGTTTAATTATAAACTAATAAAACTTCTGTGTCTATTTGTCTGTTTGTAACATTCAGTTGAGCAAACTTATAGTTCAAAAAGGCTACCAACATTTGCTTGTTGAAATCAACTTGCTCTTTTTTTTCTACTCGCGTACAGTACAGAAAATAAGGTGATGTTTAATATCCTAATGCTTCACAGGGTTATTCCATCCTTCATAAAAGCTGATCATCAGCTTTGCCCTTTTTCTCCCAGCCCTTTTGCAGTGCTCTGGAGCCAATTTGCCAGTAGTTCTACTCCAACAACAAAAATGCACTTGCAAATATAACTTACAACAAATACTATAGAGACTTTTTGCACACTTATAAACCTAAAATCTGTTGCCTGATGTTCAGATGATAGCTTGATCTGCTGACACTGTCTGACTTGCTGCTTTGGGTTGCACTGTCTGACTGATACACACCCTTGTCTGAGGTACCACCATCAGTTATTGTCAGCAAGAGATAGCTTTTTGACTTGAACCTCAGATAGATAGTCTTCGGGGGTGGGGGGATTATCCTCCATTATACCAGGGATTTAAATTTGCTATGGAATCTAAGACATAAAACCAATAGTTGTTCTCCTTTTATTTAAGTCTCTTTTATGGTCATAAATTATTATTTTTCAACCATTTCTTGTTTTCAGTACCCAATTTCTCCCTTTTTTCAGTTTGTGTTCCTTTCAAAGGTATAGTTTAAGTCATGGGGTGGTGATGGGAAAACTGTATTTATTTGCTAAGGTGCCATGTAAACTGAAAGCATAAATGAAACATAAAAGTTGAAGTTTTTCTGATTCACTCATATAGAGAATTCTGGGATCTTATCCATTAATTATAAGTTATCCAAAAAATAGATGACATCAAACAAGAAAAAATACTTATTTATGCATGGAAGTTGTTATATGTGTGATGAAAGCAGACAAACAGATACATTCTTTATGACTGTTTTTCAGCAGTGCCCATGAGATGCTGAAAATATTAAATTCCAATGCTATCCTTATATTGGACATGTGATGAAAGGTTATGAATTAGGTTTATCATGACTATATGCATGCAAACTTTATGAAAACATTGTAAGGATCTGACCTATTCATAACATAGTATTGAAGTTTATTTTCTAATTTCTGTAAACTTTCTTCCTGGAAAAAGAATTTTAATTTTAGTACTTCTTTCTTACAATTTATCTTAATTTTATTTTTTACATAAATTTTAGTCAAATGTGGGGGTTTTTGTGGGGGAGAATTATTATATGTCCCTCATTGTCATAGCTTGCAGATGTCCCTCCTTCCTAATCTATAAAAGATCTGGGGGAATATAACCCTTACGATATCTTCCCTTTAGATTTAATTCAACTACAGGAATCCAACAAATCTATAAACAACCAAAGAGAATATTGTATATTGAAAGACTGGGCACACGTATTCAACACACCAGAGCCATCTTGTTATTTAGATAAGTACAGGGACTTTCCATTCCTTCCTTAAGAATTTCGATGATTTTTTTTCTTCTCCTCTGGAAAAGAAATGAAAGGAATTCCCCCATCAAATTTATGTGCAGAATAAATTTACGTACTAGTGGACTGCTATTGTGTAAGCAATCTACTTTCATGCTATATGGCTTTTGCATATGTTGCCTGAATATATTCATTCTACTCATCTTTTATATTTTAAGAGAAAAAATACACCAGAAAAATGATGTCTACATTTTCTCTCAAAATATGCATTCCAAACATTTGAGTTTTCATTTATTTCCCACTCTCTATCATTAAATATGATTATATTTTGATTGGCCTTTGCAACATAAAATACAGTGAATCATTCAAACTGTACCATTGCAAGCCATTGCAAGCACATTTCAAGCACATTTGCAAGCCAGTGCAAGCATATTTCTCTGAGAAGTGTGAATCAAGTGAATATAAATTACTAAAACTAAATTTCCCCAACATATCCTCAATATGATAGGTAAAAAGATCTATTAAATCCTGCACAAAATGTGTATTTTAAAACTTTTTTGGCATAGAAAATATAATATTATGGAACCTTTGCTAATTTCCCAATTTTCATGAGGCATGATATTGTGGTTTCAGTATAAGAGCAATTGTATCTTTTCTTTTTCAAGAGTATTCTAAAAATTATCTTTCAAAAAGAGGTGGAAATGTCTCATAAATTTTGTTTGAAAGTGTCCTATCAGACTTTTTATTCTACTTTTCTTTTCTGCTTTTTTAAACAGAGAAGTAAAAATCTTGCAATGCCATTATATCAAAAAGAGCCTTAGGTTATAATCCATAAATTCATTATGTGCACTGCACAGTCTATTGTATATATGTGGTTTGGTACTTTTTTCTAGCAGTGAGTTTTCTTTCTTACAGAAGCATCAAACTTATAGCCAAATAAGTCTGTCTGGTTTGGTGGATTGTGGGTTATTTATTCTAAATTGGGAAGAAAGCAAAGCATAAATATTCCATCTTCAATTTGATTTCTATAATTTCAGTTCAATTTTGAATATAGAGCATTGCTAACATGGCTTCAGCTATTGATTATAGAATTGGGACTTTTAAAATTATTCCCTCACTTATCATAATTAGATTGCTTTTTTCTTTTTCATGAAATTTGAAGTCTGTATGTGTCTGTGCACATGCACTTGTATCCAATGTGTGCATTTGTTCTCAAAATGAATGCAGTTGTATGGTGTTCTAATGAAGTAGTTAATCCATCCTGCTTGCCTTTAATATCCAGGTTGTCTACTCAGCTTAAAGCAAGTTGCAAACATGCCATAATCTATAGTGCCACCTAGTTTCCAACTTAAATGTTTACCCACCCCACCCCCACATCTTTCCTCATTCAGGTAAAATATTTTTCTCTGTTTTCACACAGATTCCAGGAAATGGGGAAGGAATATGTCCACAATACAAAGGCATACCGTTTTATTGTTGTCCTCTTCTTGTGCCTTTCTAAACTCCTGCTCTAAGCTGCAGTCTATCTCACTGAAGAGTCCCACTTCCTCACAGTTTTTTAAGAACCGGGTTGGTGTTGGAGTTTGGTCTGAGGAGAAATATCCAAAGGTGTAGGCATTATGTAATGAAGAACAAGAAATTGTGTAATGTTATCTATTATAGCATGTTAAAATACAAGGCAGTACCAGTTTAACGAAGTCAGGTTATGGAACCCTTATTAGTTAATTGGTAGAGTCCCCATACAATTTATCAAAAGTACAGCTGTTTGAAAGTAGAACATATACATAGCTTTTAAGTAATGCATGCAAACAAACACATTTGCAATGTTTAATATTCAGGAAATAAGTAACCTGTCCCCAAGCAATTGGTTTCTCCAGATTTTCAAAGTAGCACAATGTGGCACTAAGTAGTAAGTCAACTTCATGGGAAAAAAAGATAATTACAGATCTCTGCATCATGTTTGTTTTTGACTTTAATTAGAAAGCATAGCTGCCTACTCAGACTCTTATTTTGTAAAAGACATACACACACATATCCCCCTCCTTAGATATATTTTCTAAAATGAGCAGAAAAATATATAGAAATGAATCATGCATGACATGAAAGGAAACACTACACCATTCATAAACTGACATAATTGATATGGGTATCTTAGGAGCAGGGATGGTTAAAGAAATTAGATCGTGGCTGCATAATGAAAGCCTTGCAGACAATCAACTTTCCAACACAATTCTGTTTGTACTTATACATATGGAACTGTGGATACCTAAAACACAGGCTTGTGAATGCCCATGTTTTATCAGCTGGAAAATGATGAGTGTTTTAGGATAACTAGTTAGTAAAAAAAAAAGACATTTGGTTTCTTGTAGCTGGATATTCTGCATTTGTTTGCCTAAATATTTGCCTTTTTGTCTTTATTGATGTATTTTATATCTATGTAGAATGAAGGAAAGATACTGATTTGGTAAAGATAGTAGGGAAGGCAATAAGAATAGAATAGAATAGAATAGAATAGAATAGAATAGAATAGAATAGAATAGAATAGAATAGAATAGAATCTGGAAGGGATCTTGGAGGTCTTCTAGTCCAGCTCACAACTCAAGCAGGACGACCTATATTATTTCAGATAAGTGGATGTCTAGTCTCTTCTTAACATGGTGTAATGGTTGCTTGATAAACAATGAAAAAAAGTTGTCATTCATTCAGTTTATTGCTACTCTCATCATAGTGCCAAGGTGGACACAGCAACAGATTACTTCTCCTGCCTGAAGTTAGACTGCCAATCTAATATTGTATATGTTGACCTGTTTTACTATTGAAAAACACAGCAATCAGCCAGCATCTATTTTTACCCATCCGCCTGCACTTGTGATGGGACCCTGTATTTTTCTGTCTGTGTACAGATGTTTGTAGGAGCAGTAGTACAAAAGGCTCTTTTTTCCCTCAGCATGCTTACTTTGTAAGTGACTTTTACTGTCCAAAAGCTGTCTTGATTATTTTACTTCTTTTTCTTCTGAAAGCTGTACGCAAATTGTGGGTCTGACTGTGGTGCAAAAATAAGCAAGGCCAAGGTATAGACTAGAAGAAACAAAAAGATCCTGTTCTTCAAATGTCAGTTTACTGCCAATTTTTAGTTGGCAAACTCTGCCATCAATTTTTGGAAACCAATTGTGCCAGAAATTGAAAAATGGCTTGTTAGGCCATGGGAGAAAAAAAAGAATCTACTATCCACCATATTCAAATAAGGAACATTTATGCTTAATAAAATAATACTATCACATTTTAGAAACAAGCTGTGGACAGACATCAACTTCACAAAGTAAATATATATACAGCCAAGCCTACTTTAAGTGGTTTTACAGAGTCAGCATATTGCCCCCAATAACCTGGGTCCTTATATTACCGACCTCAGAAGGATGGAAGGTTATGTCAACCTTGACCTTGGTGAGATTCAAACATATAGTAATATGTGCACATATTAATGCTACAACTATGGACTATGATTCCATTGCTGTGATTTCACAAAAATCATGAAAATATAGATCAAAAATAGCTAACCTGAACAAGAAATATACAATATTTAAAAACTTTACCTTCTGTAATATATCTATAATGAAAGAGTACTACAAACCATTCTCACTAATTTTTTTCATGTGATGAGTTATAGGCTGGATTACATCTTTTCAAGAAAGCAACAGAGTGCACATGTTCTTTTAAAAATAAAATGCACATATAAAATGCAAGAGGTATGCAACCCCTCCTAATCTTGTAGGTCATGGATTGCTTGTACAGAAGTCTTGGAAAAAGACACTATTATTTTATTATTTCTGTTTTACATCAGAATTGTTAAAACAGAAATGTATGATATTTGAAACACTAGTTACCAGGCCAAAAAATAATCATCTTTTTTTAAATACTGATTGGCAAGGACAACAACAAAACAACCTCAGAGACTGATATAGAAAACTTTTGTTTTACTTTAAAAAAGAAATCCAAAGCTTTTCAAACCAAACCATAACAAATGTGATTAATCTACAGTGTAGATATGTGACAAGCAGAGATCCAAATGGTGTAATTTGATTCCTGATATTTAACACAAGTGTTTAGTCTGCTGCACGTTTAATAACAGGAATTTGGCTTATTCAGCTGGAGTGCTCCACTGAAGTTATATATTAGACACATTTCACTTCCATGCAATGATAACAAAATCAGAAGAATAAAAGTAATCGGAGTGCTTAAACAAAGGCTGCCCTATTGCACCAGAGGGGTTCAAATCTCTCTCACTTTCCTTTCCTTTATTATTTTGACAACATTTTTATTTCCACTTATTTGTCACATCATTACTCAAACAGATTAGACAATGTGTATCCCTGGCAGCTGTGTTTTTTTACATAGGTGCCTCCAAAAACATGAAGGGAGAAGTCTACATTGATGAGACATATGTGGATGAAAACAATGTAACGCCTTCAAACATGCAATGATTGATTTTCTGTGCAAGAAAATATAATCAAACCTGTATTCAACTTCAAATGAGATATAATCTGATATAATCAAACCTGTGTTCAACTTCAAATGAGCTTACTTTTATTTATTATTTAAAGTAGGTATATTCTGCATTAGGTTGCACCAATTCAGTTAGAGGTGCATACAATATAATAGGCATATTTTCCTAAGGTTTCTGAGCAGTGATGGGATTCAACATTTTTTTACTAATAGTTCTGTGGATGTGGCTTGGTGGGCGTGGTAGGGGAAGGATACTGTAAAACCTCCAGTCAGAGGTGGTGTTTGCCGGTTCTCCGACTACTCAAAATTTCCGCTACCAGTTCTCCAGAACTGGTCAGAACCTGCTGAATACCACCTCTGTTTCTGAGGAATTTTATTTCTCCAGATATGAGTGGGTTAAACTATTCCACAGCAATAAAAACAACTTTCATTCATTATTTTAAGTAATTACAGCATGCACTGTCTGAAACAGCATCAACTGTGCACCACACACAATGATTAAGTTCTATGAAGGTTGTTGTATTTATGTCATCTTGGTTCCTTAGATAACCTACCCCAAAGCTAACAAAATTGAGGGTTTCTAAAGTTATGATGCAATTTTCTTTATCTTATCTACAGTGGTTGCATATTTATCATGTAGATGTGGTAGGCCCAATACTTTTAGATTCAGTTTCTTTTATTTTTAATGACATATTATTCTGGAAATTTTAGATGTGTGGACAAGAGATTAGGTAGCAAAATCTGAAAGCTAAGAGCAATGTTTCTCAATCTGATCAACTTTAAGATGCATGGAATTCAACTTCCAGAATTCCCCAACCAGCAATTTTGGCTGAAGAATTCTGCGAGTTGAGGTCCACACATCTTAAAGTTGAGAATGTTAAGAAGCCATGGTTAAAAGAGTTGGATCTGATCAGGACTGTACTTTGATACTCCCAAATCTGCAGGCTAATTTGGGAAGTAAAAACTATTCTCATAACAACAAATTATTTTTGTAATGTTGCAAAAATACTCTGCGAAAATCCATATCCATAAAGATACAGGGAAAAGCTCAAACTCAATTCATTAGGTATAACTTTTGATTAAAACATCCTCCTATTTACTTTTGAACTGAAATAGTAAGAATTATTGAGTATCTTCTCTATATCATTTGAATCTATTCAATCAGTTTGCCATTTTGCACATTGGTTTTTTTATTTATTTATACATGGTTTAGTTTCTCTCTCTCTCTCTCTCTCTCTCTCTCTCTCTCTCTCTCTCTCTCTTTCCCTTCCCTCCCCCATCTCTCTTGTTTCTTGTTTATGTTGCTCTAGCCTTGGTCAAATCTTAATGTTTGATATAGGCCGATATATAAATGCTTGCAATAAATGAATAAGTAAATAAATGCAAAAATATTTATTACACCATTTCTATTTTTAGAAGTTTGCAAAAATTAGCATATAGAAAAATTATAGATAATATGAGAAGTAAAGAATTCTTCTAGGACAAGATTTAGGCATACAGTATAAGGCTCCATTAGGAGAGGTTTAATGTGTGTTAGGCTTCCAGAGAAATGACAATAAATTCTAGTAGAAGCTACATATTTCCAGTATTTTTGAAATAACAGCTATCTAAGGAAGTTATCAGCTTCTGTGCAAGAAAAACAGTAGTTCAGAATTTATATCAAATTAGATTGTGATTCTGTTGTGTTCTCTTGCAGTGCTATTCTCTCTGAAAAGAAGTGACCATTAATGATTGTTATTTTTATTCCTGCTCTTCTATTTAAATATATCAAGTAAAGCTAGAATCTTCTAACTGATAACAGAGCCCTGGCCATATGGGAATCAATAATTAAAGCAAAATCCTGTTTGGATCAATCTTCCAGCATTTCAATTTGCATAAGTATGCATATGGAAATGAACCAGCTTTTTCTTCTACAGCTATTTGTGCAGCTGAGGGAGATGCGCGCATGTGCATGTGTGTGTGTTTGTGCATGTGCGTGTGCATGTGTGTTTGTGTGTGAAAGCGAGAGAATAGATGAATACTATATTTCTCTTCTTGTGTATGGAAGGATGTAGATAAAGGGTCTTCAAACTTGGCAAGTTTAAG